AGAGGAGCGCCGGATCGGGGAGGCGCGGCAGGGATCGCAGGCAGCGAGCGGGCGCACGGCCCAGACCGCCACGCCGCCTGGAGGGCTGTACCTCAGCGGGCTCTGCGCGACCTCTCCGTGGCACTCTCGGCTAGCTGCGCCGCCTCGAGTGCGGCTCCGCCGCGCTCCTCCTCTTGCGAGCCGGCGCCGCAGCCGCCCTCTTGCCGCCCCTGCCGCCGCCGCCGCCGCCCCTCCTCTGGAGCTTGTTGGCTGGGGAGCGGGCCGCCGCGTCAGCCGCCGCGTGGGCCGGCGCCGGGCGGAAGTGCGGCGGCACCTTGCGGACAGCGGTCTGGGCTAACCATCGGCTGCACCTCGGCTACATCTCGGCTACATCTCGGCTACATCTCGGCTACATCTCGGCTACATCTCGGCTACATCTCGGCTACATCTCGGCTACATCTCGGCTCCATCTCGGCTACATCTCGGCTCCATCTCGGCTACATCTCGGCTACATCTCGGCTCCATCTCGGCTCCATCTCGGCTCCATCTCGGCTCCATCTCGGCTCCATCTCGGCTACATCTCGGCTACATCTCGGCTCCATCTCGGCTCCATCTCGGCTACATCTCGGCTCCATCTCGGCTACATCTCGGCTACATCTCGGCTCCATCTCGGCTACATCTCGGCTACATCTCGGCTCCATCTCGGCTACATCTCGGCTACATCTCGGCTCCATCTCGGCTACACCAACTGCTTCGTAGTCCCTCTCGGCTCCACCTCGGCTATCTCACCTCGAAGACGGCGGGAAGAGGCGCCGCTGCAGAAGTGCCGGCGCCTGCGGCGTGGCGTCGCGCAAAGCGGAGATATAGCCGAGATATAGCCGAGATATAGCCGAGATATAGCCGAGATACAGCTCAGCCATAGGCGCCTGCGGCGTGGCGTCGCGCAAAGTGCAGGCTCGCGGCCTCGCAGCTCGCGTCCGGCCCGCCTACTCGGGTCACGGGGAGCGTGAGGGCGCGGCATGCACAGCCGGTGCATGCACAGACGAGGCCGCCGCCGCCGATGTGGGCCCCCGGGCAGGGTCCGATGTAGGCGTACTCGAGTCGATGCGACGCCCAGGTGCCTCCAGAGGGGAGGAGGAGCCAGCCCGCGTCCTGCATCGAGGCGGGTAGTCGCCGCTGCAGCCCGGACGCCTGTGCGCGGGGGGGTATAGCCGAGATATAGCCGAGATACAGCCGAGATATAGCCAAGATATAGCCGAGATACAGCTCAGCTATGGGCGCCTGTGCGCGGGGAGGAGGCGGTGGCGGTGCTTGGTCGAGCGGCGTGCGGCTGGGCGGCGGGTGGAGGCGAGTGGAGTGTGGGCGGCGGGTGGAGGCGAGTGGAGTGCGCTGTGGGGTGGAGTGCACTGGAGTCACTGGAGCCACTGGAGTGGGAGCGTGGCTGCGAGAGGGCGGCCGGGGCTCTACGTTGCGCCGCCTCTGCCTCGCCGATCTTGAGGCGGTGGCTCTGCAGCGTGGCGCGAGAGGTCAGGCCACGCGGCTCGACCCTCTCTCCGTCCTCCGGGGCAGACGTCATCCACAGCCGCTGCGGCGCGGAGCAGCTGTTGTGCCGCACGTCCGAGTTCATACCGCACACCCACGCAACGTCGTCCGGCAGCGCGTCGATGGCGCTCCGCTTGACGATGCGCCACCGCGCGCACAAGTCGCACTGGACCCACTCCGAGTCGATCCGCGCGGGCGCGCACCTGCAGGAGGAGGCGGGCGGGCGGGCAGGCTCCGGCGTCAGCCTCTGGGGCCGCCGCCGGGTGAGTGACGTCTGTGAGGGTCAGCCGCTAGTAGCAGCCGCTGCTCACTCGGCGGGCCGCTCGCTCTTGGACTGGCGAGCGCGGTTCAGCCGCCGCGGCGCCGGTGGCTTGTACTCGTCGTCGAACCGCTTCGCAGCCACTCCTGCCGTCTGCCTGCGGCTCTTGCGCCCGCCGGCCGCCTCCGCTGCGTCTGCAGCAGCCTCCCTCTCGGCTGCCGCAGCCTCTCTCTCGGCTGCAGAAGGCTCCCTCTCCGCTGCAGACGGCTCCCTCCCAGCAGCAGATGGCTCCCTCTCAGGTGCCGCAAACGGCTCGCCGCCCGTCCAGGCGTCCAAGACATCGTCATCGTCGTCGTCGTCGTCTAGCACTGCGGTGACCGCCACTGCGAGCCCCTCCATGATGTCGCAGGGTTCCAACTTTTTGCGGGGTGTGGTATGTCGTGGCCCAAAGGGTGGGGGGGTATGGTCCTGACCGCCCAAGACTAGCCCTCGACAGGGGTGGGGGGGTATGGTCCCTCGGCCCCTCCCTCTAGTGCCGCCGCCGAGCCCGCAGCGCCATGAGGTAGGAGCGCGCGCCCGCGTCGCGGAGCTGCTGCAGCTGCTCCACGCTCCACTCGCCGACACCCTTCTGGTTGCGGAGCGCCTCAATGTCGCGCGAATCAACATAGCCGTCCAAGCTGGCGTTGACCTTTGTGTTGCATTCCTCCTTATTTGCGAGGTTACGCATCTGCCATCTCGGTGACCAGCGCGAGCAGCGATGCCTTGGTGCAGCGCCAGCAGATAGTGAATACGAGCTCGAGCGGCGGAGTGGTAGGCTGCGGCTCAGTCCGACTCGCACGGGGACGCCGGCGCGGCGCCTGCTGTGCGGGTGCGGCGACCGGCGCGGGATGCCGCGCCCGCCGCTCGCCACGCGATTGCCAACTTCGCCGCCGCGCTCTAGACGAGCACCGGTGCTGGCGTGGAAGACGGCGGCCATCCGCGCGTATCTAGTGTGCGTGTGTCGGTGTCTGCAGCCTCCTGGAGCCTATAGCAGTAAGGCGGCCGGCGGTGGGGCGAGGGGGTGGGGGGGGGGTATGGTCCCGTCGGCGGGAGGTTGGGTCTGTCAGCAAAGCCCTGGGCTGTCGATACCTTCCTTCCAGTGAAATCCCTGTGTGGTGGCGGCGTGCCGTCCTCCATCCCTCTTTGCCTCTTGGAGCACTTGGAGGTCTACGTTTTCTTTCTTTTTGGGCTGTCGATAGCACCACACTCCTCTGACTCCTTAAAATCCCTGTGTGGTGGCGGCGTGCCGTCCTCCCATCTTTATCTTGACTTGTCTGTTTTCTTTCTTTCTTTCCGCACCTGTGTCGAGCCTGTCTGCTGTGAGAGAGAGTTGTTTTTGTTTGAATTCTTTCTTTCTGGGAGGAAGCGGATTTCTTTTTGCTGTGGCGTCTCTGTGTCGAAACGCGCGGCCCGGCAGCCATCCTATGTCATGTCGCACGCGCACGATCACCTAGTGCGGCTGCTCGCGTGGCTGGCGGGGTTCGAGGCGGCCGAGCGCCGCGTCCACAGCCAGAACGGCGAGGACGGCGTGCTCGAGCACCTCTTCGGCTTCGTCGGCGCCGGGCCGAAGAACTACATCGAGTTTGGCGTGATGAGCGGGCGGGAGACGAACACGCGGCACCTGCGCAAGGCGCATGGGTGGCGCGGGCTGATGATGGACGGCGGCTACCGCGACCCCTCGATCAACCTGCAGCAGGAGATGATCAACGTCTCCAACGTCGTCAGCCTCTTCCGCAAGTACGGGTTCGCGCCGGAGACGGAGTTGGACCTGCTGTCGGTCGACACCGACTGCTACGACTACTGGCTGACGGAGACGGTCTTCTCTGCTGGCTACCGGCCGCGCGCCATCGTGAACGAGGTAAACGCCGCCCTCACGCTCGCACCGCCCGCCAAGATCAGCGTGCCGCCTCCGGACGACCCACGCGCGGGCGGCCGCTCGCGCTGCTTCGGCAGCAGTGAGGCCGACAGGCTGTCCAGCTGGTTCGGCGGGTCGGTCAGCGCGTTCTCGAGCCTGTACCAGCGCTACAATTACTCGATGGTCTACTGCGAGTCCACCGGCGTCAACTGCTTCGGCGTGCGCGACGACCTGCTGCGCCCGAGCGGGAGTCACGGCGCGCACACCCCACCGGTCTCGAGCTTCCTCACCGATGCGATGGTCTACCGACCAGCGAGGTACGGGCCGAACTGCGGCGGGCATCCGCGGCCGCACGCGCCGGCCCGCGAGAACGCGATGCGCTCGAGGCCCTTCGTCGACGTCGCCGAGCAGCCGAAGGCCGCCTTCCCGTACGTGCGCGCGCCGGCGAGGGAGCCGCGCAAGCCGGGCGAGCGGTACCCGACGGCGCAGTGCGCCGAGGGGCTGCGGGGCAATCTGTGCGCCGGCGTCAGCTGGGCGTGAAAGAGAGGCCGGAAGAAAGGGGAGAGAGCAGGTGGCGCGGCGAGGTGGAAGGCGGCGGGGAGGGAGCAGGGAGGCGGAGGGGATCGGCTTCGCTCTTATACTATTTATCCAAGGAAGGCAAAAGAGAAGTCGCCTGAGCAGCAGGGACCCGAGGGACCATGTGGAAGACGGCTAGTGGTAGTGCGCTAGTCCCTCATCGGGAGGACGACCCCGGCTAGTCGCCGACCACGGACCACACCCACAAAGAACACTGCACAAAGATCACAAGGGCGGGGGCCTGTTCCTTTTTACCCATCTCACAGTCTAAGCGCTTCGAGCCGGCCACCCAGCCAGGCCAAAATCCGGGGAGTACTGTGCGCTCGGCCCCGGGGGGACATGAGAAAAGACACACTTTAAAAGAAAACATCGGGGATTTCTTTTTGCTGTGGCGTACCTGTGTCGAACCTGTGTGCTGTGAGAGAGAGAGAGAGAGTTGGTTCGTTGAATTCTTTTTTGCTTATAGCTGATTTGTTTCTCCCCGCCGGCGGGCGCTTGCGAGCGCGAGTCCCCCAGTCCGTGCGATGCGAGATGCGCCATGCATACGCAGCACCTCATGCGGCTTACACCACCTGTGCGTACTGCTCCTGCTCGCTATGTGCCTCAGCAGCGCTCACACACAAACCATCGCCACGAGAAGCACAGGAAGACCAACTGGCCGCCTCTCTCACCAAGCCGATGGCCAGCTTGGCATCACTTCACAGCCGGGTGGGAAGGCCGCGAGCAGCAGCGCCACGAACGCGACCGGGTGCAGCGTCATTGTCATTGCGACGATGCAGCGGAGCGGCTCGACCGAGTTCGCCTCGCGCCTCGCACGTGACACGGGCTTCACCAACCTCAACGAGGTGTTCAACGAGGGAAGCCACGGCGGCTTCCAGTCGCCCGCCGCCCAAGCGCTGCTCACACCGAGGGAGTTTGCGCGCCGACGAAACGATCCCGTCAGGACCTTGCAGCGCTGCCTTGAGGCTCAGTGCGGCAACCGATCGGCGAGCGACCGGCGGCCGTGCGGCGTGCTGCTAAAGCTCTTCCCGATGCAGTGGTGGAGCCGTGCTGTGCAGAGGAGGTTTGTACTCTGGCAGCCGCCTCATTGCCATCACCTCCGAGGCGCTGTACTGCATCGCGCGGGTAACAAAGCGGCCGCACGGAAGGAGGGCAGTCGGTTGAGCCTCACCGGGACCGGAACCGAGAAGGCCAGGCCGAACGCGCCCGCCGATTGTCCGCGCGCCTTCCTTTAGTCACCAACACTCGACAACACTTGTGTATTTATCGTACAATGGAGAAGTTTACTTCGTAAGGTACCCACTCCCAACATTATTCCGCGACTCCCAACCTAGCTGCCCGGGCCTCCCACCTCACAAAGATTTGGCAAGAGCCACAAAGATTTGGCCGTCCACCAATGAGTGGCCAGGCCTCGTCCTCGACCGCAGCCGCGCCCGGCGCTCCACATCCACGGCCGCAAGGCAGGGCGCCGAAGGAGCACACGTGGGATGGAAGCTACGGGGAGAGCGGTGCCTGGCTGCACAACGTCACCGGGCTGCCCTGGGCCAAGGGCGGGCGATCAGCAGCCTCGATGGCTCAGCAGCGCGAGCGCAAGCGCGAGGACAAGCGCGACAGGAGCGGCAGGCCGGAGGCGTCCGGCGCGCAGAAGCGCAAGAAGGGCGCGGTGGAGGCGGAGCGGCGCGACAGGAACCGGCGGCTGAACGTCATCAACCAGTACCGCACAGCGGCTCGCAAGAAGAAGAAGATCCCACTCGACTCGAGCCAGGTGGCGCGCACTAGGGAGGAGAAGCGGCTTCTGGGCGACAATTTCGTGCACGAGGGCCAACGCGTGCGCGTGATCGAGGGGCTGCACGCTGGCTGCTGCGGCGTCGTGCTCGAGCGAGCCGTGCTGTGGGAGTGCGGCAGGGCGGTCACGGCCGTCGTTGAGCCGGAGCATCACCATGATGTGCTGCTGGACGAGGATGAAGATGAGGCCGGGCCGCGCCGCATTTCGCCTTACCAGGTGGAGCCGTGGCCTCGCGTCGGGCAGCAGGTCGGGCTTGATCTCAGCTTGATCTCAGCTTGATCTCAGCTTGATCTCGGCTGGACCCTGGCTGGATCTCGGATCTCGGCTGGATCTCTGCAGGTTTGCTGGCTGCCCGGCGAGCCCAACGCGATCGCCACGGTGACGTCTTTCCACGGCGGCGACGACAACGGCAGCGGCTACATCCTCTCTCGCCGCCTCTACGCCTCGCCGGCGACCGTCGAGGCGATGGCGGGTGGCGAGGTGCGTGGGACACGAGCAGCTTGAGTCATGAGCAGCTTGAGTCATAAGTCACGAGCTAAGAGTCACATAGCCGTGCAGGTGCGCGTCGGCTCGTGGGTGCGGCTGCTGCCGCCGCATCCAGAGTCATCGCCCGAGCTAGACGTCTCGACAGCCAGGCTGCCCGAAGAGCCGTCGATCAAAAGACGCGCAACGGATGCTTCACGAGCTCAACCTGCATGACGTCGCTGAGTTCAGCTCGGAGCAGCTGCACGAGCTCGTGACGTTCCCCTACTATCACCGAGTGCCCGGCTGGCACGCGCCGGCCATGTCTGCACAGCCCACACCGAGCACGCATCCGCATAGCTGGGTCTCAGCAAGCGCCGAGTTCCTGCTGTTGCGAGATGTGTATGTCGTGCGCGGTGCATGCACGGCGTGCGGAGATTGCCTCGAGCTGGAGTGCGTGACCATGGCATCTCATGATACTCTAGAGCCGCTCGGTAGCGAAAGCGAGCGAGATCCGTGCTGCGCACATTGCAACCACGACCACATGTTCAAATGCGCGCGCACATGGGTCACGCCGGCGAGTGTGTGTATTCGTGCCCAGAGTGCGAAGTGTCCGGTTCGAGCGATGGCGAGTCGGGTGCCAGCGATGACGACAGCGGTGAGTAGGTGAGTCTTCTACCCTAAAAGTACTCCATTGTACCCATGCGGAGCCTTTATTTTGCAGAAAAAGAACTTTTGCGCGTCAACCCTCCCAAATGGATGTGCTTGTAGGGCTTGAGAGTGGCCTACCAAAAATCGCGCGTAGAATTCTCTTTCCTTGCGAGGGGAATGGGGTGGCGAAATTCTCGGGCTTTCCTTGATGAGCTGGCTTCACTTTGGGCGACGGGGCGAAGCCCGACTGAAGACGCCCGACTGAACGCCTTATGCGCCGCCTCCTCTCCTCTCGACTCCTGCATCCTCAAGCCCGGCGAGCGGGCCGCCGCCTCCTGCCTCGCACAACTGCCGAGGTCTGGGCTGCGGCGGCGAGCTGCGCCGCGGCCGCTGCCGGCGCCGCCGCCGCCGCCTCGCAGTCTAGTGAGAAGCCAGGCACGTCGGCGGTGCAATCCCTCGTCAGGTTCAGCAGTACGGAGGAGCATCGGAGGCTGGAGGACGACTACGAGCTCGGCGAGGAAATCGGTCGCGGCCACTTTGCCACCGTGCGCCGGGCACGACACCGCGAGACTGGCGAGGTGGTGGCCGTGAAGCAGATTGCGTCGAGCCGGAGGAGCAAGTCGGGCGGAGGCGGCGCTGCGAAGCGTCCGCCGTCCGAGGTGCGGCGCGAAGTCGAGATCATGCGCCTCGCCGGCCGCCACCGCAACATCGTCGAGCTGCGCGGTGTGTACGAGACAGAGGGCGGCTGGGCGCTGGTGATGGAGTACGTGGGCGGGGGAGAGCTGTTCGACCGGCTGGTGCAGTACGGCGCGTACTCGGAGCAGCAGGCCTCGGCCCTCTTCCGCCAGGTTGGAGAGGCGATCGCCCACCTCCACGCGCTCGGCGTGTGCCACCGCGACCTCAAGCCAGAGAACCTGCTGCTCTCTGGCGCGGACCAGCGCCCGGGGGGGGAGGGCGAGGGGGAGCAGCCGCCCCTCACGATCAAGGTGTGCGACCTCGGGCTCGCGGCGCACCTCGAGGCGTCGCAGGACCGGCAGGGCACCTGGGCGTACTGGGCGCCCGAGTGCTTCACCGCGACGCGAGGCAGCGGGCGCGAGGTGGCCGGAGACACCTCTGGCGCCTCCGGAGGGTCGGACGCTGCTCGGACGCTTGCCTGACTGCCCGTGTGTAGGTTGACATGTGGTCGCTCGGGGTCATCCTGTACATCG